TGATATTTATAATATCAAGAGGAGAGCTTAATTGACACAGTAAATGAGGTCTTACCTAGCTCTCCAGGTATGAGTTTTACCTCAACCACGTCCTCATCCTGATATTTATAATATCAAGAGGAGAGCTTAATTGACACAGTAAATGAGGTCGCAAACATACATATATACATAACATAATGTATCACGCTTAAGTACCCATAACACATAGTATTCATGCAAATACTTTAGATTAACATAAAATAGTTGTTATAAAAAAAATTCTAAAATTTTGAGATATACGCATATATCATCCTCACTCATTCTAGGAAATTTTTAGCGAACTCTATACATGAATCCTAAGAAACTATATTCTAGCTCCATGACTTAGTACAGGATGATCCTAAGGATACTATAACTAGAGCTCTGATACCGACTGTGACGTTCTAATTTTCACACTTGGCTGTAGTCCAAGGTGAACCCAGAGATGTCAAACCTACCATGCACCTCCACCGTACAACAAGATCCTCTAGTGAAATCAAATAGAAGTGAAGGATACAAAACGGGTAAATAAAGGAAATAATAATACAATAGACATGATGCAGAATGATATATCTCATAAATGAAATCATGTCCCAAAATAACTAAACTGATATACATCTGGAGTCTGAAATAACATGATAAGTCTCAACATGAAATCAATTAGAAATCATACTAAGGCAAATTGCCTTAACAATATGAGTATAAACTCAAATAACTGAATGAAAACATAATACTATTGTGGAGTCCATACTAGTGAAAATACGCGACGACGACTATGCACGAACTCCATCACCCTTCGACTCTTTGATGCTCTGAGCTGCCTAAAAGTTTAAAATAAAAGAAAAATAATAACAACAAGAGCGTCAGAGCACTAGTAAGATCACCTCCATCATCCCCAGGAGAAGGGCTGCTAGATTTAGTGGAGGCTCTACCTATTAAGCATAGTCTACCGACATCTTTTTTCTCACATTTAATGGAATAAATACTTAGAAATTTACAATTCGAGACGTAGTACATTGAGCAAAATATTCTAAACAATGAAACCCTCATG